TATGTGTGTATATGTTTGTGTGTCTGTGTATGTGTGTGTCTGTATGTATATATGTGTGTTTGTGTATGTATATGTGTATGTATGCATATATATGTGTGTGTCTGTGTCTGTATATATGTGTGTCTGTGGGTGTATGTGTATATGTCTGTATGTATAGGTCTGTATGTATAAATGTGTATATGTATCTGTGTGTATCTGTATGTATATATTGTGTTTGTGTGTGTTTGTATATGTGTATGTATGCATATATGTAGATGTGTAGAAATGGTAATTGAAATCAGGGCCTTGCACATTCTAGGCAGGTGCTCTACCACTGAGCCATGCCCAGCCCCTCACTGGGAGGGTCTAAATAAGTGCTCTACCACTGAGTTATATTGCTAGCTCTCTTTTCAATTTTTTTTATTTTAAGATGGGCTCTCACTAGGTTGCCTACATTGGCTTTGAGCTTATTTGAAAGTCCAGGCATCCCTTGAACAAAACTGTGATCTTCCTCCCCCAGCCTCTCGAGTAGCTGTGACGACAGTCTGTGCCACCCGAGCCAGCACCAGCTTTGTCTGTGTCATATCTGTTCTTGGTTTGGGGACGTTTCAATGATTCCACAGGCCTCTGAAGACTGTTGTCTGACTGGCATCCCTCCCAAACTCCAGAGACACCAGGCCACCTGGCCAGACTAGAAAGAAATGTCCCTGTGGCTTTCCTGTGGTCAGGATGCATCTGCCAGGTGTTTCACCAGCCACATGTCAGCAGGCACAGGGGGAGTCTGGGCCTCCAGCCCTCTCCTCTCCCTGCTCGTGCTGTCTACGGAAACTGTGACCCTCACTGGATGGGGGCCAAACACAGGGATTCCATTGTTCTGGCCGAGGCCCCAGCATCTGGGGGCTGGGCCCAGGCTGGACATGTGCAACTGGGTCCTGGATTTCTCCCAGTGGCTGCAGGTCTTGGGACAACCTTTTAGGAGCCTTAGCCCAACCACCTCCCTTCCTAGGGGGACAGCCCTGGAGGACTCCTGACCTCAGTCCTAGGTCCTTTGTTTCAAATGTTCCTGCCAGGTGTGCCCAGGAGCTCAGCCTTCAGTGTTAGCACCACACAGACTTGCTTTCTTTTTCCCAAGACAGGGTTTCTCTGTCCTGGAACTCACTATGTAGACTAGGCTGGCCTTGAACTCAGAGATCCACCTGCCTCTGCCTCCCAAGTGCTGAGACTAAAGGCCTGCGCCACCATGCCCTGCTCACATAGGCTTTCTTATTCCTGATTTAAGAAAGTTTGTGTGTGTGCTATTTGTCCATGTGTACATTTGTGTGCCAGCACACTCACCCTGTGGAGGCCAGAGGTCGACAACATGTATCTTCTGCTACGATTTTCCGCCTTATTTTTGAGGTGGGGTCTCTCACCAAACCTGGAGCTCACCAATTGGCTAGATTGGCTGGATAGCAGGTCCCCGAGATCGCCCATCTCCTACCTCCAACACTGGCAGATACGTATCACTATGCCTGGCTTTGATGTGAGGGAGTGTTAATGGATTTGAACTCAAGTCTTCATGCTCGTACAGCAAGTGCTTTACCCACTGAGCGACCTTCCCAGCCCCTCATCCCTGTCTTTGGCTCACAAACCCAACTTTAGTCAAGTGAAGGAAGAGAAAGAGAGAGAAAAGGGAGGAGGAAGGGAGGAACGGTTGGTGGCCTGAAGCTGAACCATGGTGGTTCCTTGACTAACTGGGGATTCTCTGCGTTTCCTGGACAATGGTGAGATCTGGGTCTCAGTTTCTCTTCCTATAGAGTGGGCAAAAGTCCAGCCTCCAGACAGTTGTTCTGGATGAGCAGGAAGACAGTGGGCAGGGTGGAGGGCCTTCCTTCCTGCCCTGTGCCCATAGTCACTCCTTGGCATTCTCTCCTTTGACTCTCGTCCTCCCAGGAGACAGGCTGCCAATTTCACAAGGTCCAGCAACTCTCTGAGCAACTTAGGATGGGGACTCAAGCTCCACCAGGGGAGGTGCTGCCTGTCCTGGTCCACACTGTGTATTAGGGAACCTTTTCTCTATTACATTTAATTTTTTCACTCTGTGCTCTGTGCACATATGGAGGTCAGGGGAACAATTTGTGGGGTCTCTCCTGGACCATGTGGAATCCAGGGATCGAACTCAGGTCATCAAGCTTGGCCGCAAGCACCTTTACCTGCAGAACCAACCCTCCATGCTTTCTCCACTTTAGACAGCCCTTGTAACTTTTCCTTCAAGGACTCCCTCAGGAAGGGATTTCACTGACCAAACACACTACTAATTAATCAAATTAGCACATTTCCTGTCTCCCCCTCCCACCTTTTAGATAAGGTCTTAGAACTTAGCCCAGGTTGACTTCAAATTTGCAATATAGCCCTGGCTTTAAACTTGTGATCAGGTGGGCATTGGTGGCACATGCCTTTAATCTTAGCCCCTCACTCTGTGAGTTCAAGGCCAGCCTGGTCTACAAGAGTGAGACAGAGAAACCTTGTCTCAAAAAAAATCCAAAACAAACAAACAAACAAAACACCAACAACATACAATCATCTTCCCATGTGTGTATCTCCACACTTGGCTTTTACACACATCTTTTGGGGAAAGCAATTTGTCCATCATTGTGAGTTCCCTTATATAACGTCAGGCTTTGTGGCCTTATCAGAGGAATATATCCAATTTGCTGAAGCTTCTGGAAATGGGGCAGGGAACTTCTGTGTGAGCCCCAGCAGCACCACTGCCATCATCACTATTGTTGGGACCAAACAAAGATACAGGGGCTGTCCGTGGAAGGCGCTGTAACAGGGGCCAGAAATTGTCCCAGCCCATCACAATCCCTGATGTTACTGCTCATCTTTGGAACTGCAGAATCCTGATGGCAGTGGGGGAGGGGACAGGGCGGGTCCCCATTGTACAGGAGAGTCAGGGTAACAGTCTAGCCAGGTTCACTGGGGTGGGTATCTTACCTGATGTCTTCGGGTTTCTATTATTGTGACAAAACGTTGTGACCAAAAAGCAAGCTGGGGAGGAAAGGGTTTATCCGGCTTACACTTCCACCATTGCTGTTCATTAATGAAGGAAGTCCGGACAGGCACTCAAACAGGGCAGGATCCCGGAAGCAGGAGCTGATGCAGAGGCCATGGAGGGGAGCTGCTTACTGGCTTGCTTCCCATGGCTTGCTCAGCCTGCCTTCTTATAGAACCCAGGACCAGCAGCCCAGGGATGGCACTATTGGTCACTAAATGAGAAAATGCCTTACAGCTGGATCTCAAGGATGCATTTCCTCAGCTCAGGCTCCTTCCTCCGATGACTCTACAGCTTGTGTCAAGTTGACACACAAAGCCACCCAATACACCTGCTGTACCGACTCCAGACAGCCTTCATGGGACACCAGGGAGAACAGCACAGAGGGCCACGTGGCCTTTGTCTTGGGAGGCTTGGGGGCTATTCGTTGCGTTTTGGTCCTGGAGTAAGAAGCCTAAGCCAGACTCCAGGCTTTATGGACCTTCAGGGATGGAGAACTTCTCTTCTATTGCTCCAGGCTGTTTTCCAGTTGAGTGGCTTCCCCCAGTCACCCAATGCACAGAAACCCACCGCTCTGGAAGGGCCTCTGCCCTTGGGCCATGGTGCAAGAAAGCAGGCGCCTCAGGCAGTTGGATGAACTGAAATACAGGTCTGTCAGGAAGCCACTGGCCAGCCGGAGAGGGGACCTACCTGGCAGATGGAGAAGAAGCTGACGTGTGCCCAGTTTCTAAGAACACAAGGGGTTCTGCAATAAGGCCCCAGGGTTGTGAGGGGACTAAGCCACGAGGATTTGCGGGCCAACCCTGGGAGGAGAGCGCGAACACCGGAGGGGCACAGAGCCACGCAGCTACCTGTCCCCTCCACCCCCTTTCTCTTCTATTTTTTGGTTGTTCGAGACGGTTTCTCTGCGTAGTTTTGGTGCCTGTCCTGGATCTCGCTCTGGAGACCAGGCTGGCCTCGAACTCACACAAATCCACCTGGCTCTGCCTCTCGAGTGCTGGAATTAAAGGCGTGCGCCACCACCCGACTCCATACCCTTTCTATAGGCTGTGTCTTGACCAGATGGGGACAGGAAACTTTGTCATAGGTCTTTAAAATGATGCAACCCTGTGGGGTGTGGTGGTTCTGGCCTGCTATCCCACTACCTGGAAGGCAGGAACAAGAGGATTGTAAGTTCAAGGCTAGCTTGGGCAACTTACTGAGATCCTGTCTCAATATAAAAAGTATGACGGGACAGGGAATGTAGGCCTGTGGTAGTGTTTGCCTCGCATGCCTAAGGCCCTGGGTTCAATAACTAAAAATAAAGCAGGCCTTCCCACAGGAAGGGCAGGTGGGTATTCAATCGATCTGCCCATCATCGCCTTATACACGTCTTTGTGGCTTATGCGTCAGGCTGAGCACTTTACACTCGTTTTATCTCCACAATGCCTTTTCTCAGACTGCTACACTGAGGCCGAGAGGCTAAGTCATTCGACCAAGATCACACAGTTGCAGCTCCGGAATGCAGATCATGCCCATCCTACAGACAGATCACTGAGTCCCGGGCAGGTTCCTGCGAGGAAACGTATAAAGATCGAAACCAGCAAGCAAACGCATGGGACGGAGGGCAAGCTACACGTGAGATGCGGGTTCCAGACTCCACGGTCTACAGGGAAGAAATGGCCGAGGAAGAGGCTGAGGGTCCTGCCTGAGCCGAGGGGTGCGACTAGTAGGTAAAATGACCAATGGCAATGCAGGGGCAGGGATCTAGGCTTGTTGAGGGCAGGGCCTATGGGAGATAGGCCAATGACAGCCCGGGGGCAGGGACTGCGTTTCTATGGGCGGGGCCTTCTGGCTGCCGGCCAATGGCGGTGTGTGGGCGGGGCCTGAGGACGGGGAGGATGGCTAGGGTGGGGCTTGCGGGCGGCGAGCCTATGGCGGTGTGGGGGTGGGGCCTGAGGGCGAGCGGGAGGGGGTGCGGAGGGGGAGGCGGCAGCGGCGGCGAACAAAGAGGCGGCGGGCGCGGGTGGCCGAGCGGAGCCGAGCGGAGCCGAGCCGGGCCGAGCCGGGCCGAGCCGGGCCGGGCCGGGGCCTAAGATAGCAGGCACAATGCGGGCAGCTGAGCAGGGGTCGGCGGGTCCCTGAGCCCCGTGCACCGGGCAGCGAGAGAAGCCCGGCGCAGAGCCCACGGCCGCCCGCCATGGCCGGGGTCAGCTACGCGGCGCCCTGGTGGGTGAGCCTCCTGCACCGGCTGCCGCACTTCGACCTGCGGTGGGAGGCCACCAGCAGCCAGTTCCGGCCCGAGGACACCGACTACCAGCAGGTGACGCGCGCCCCCGGGTGCGGGACCAGGGGCCCTGGGTCATGGCCCCTCCCGAGAGGGGCTGGAGCTACCCCATCCTCATGCGGGGTCTTGGCCCTTTCCTTTTAGGGGTCCCCTCTGGTCCATTGATACCTCTCCAGGGATTAACGTCGATCCCCCCCTTAGAAGGTGTTGAGTCCCTCCGTGTCACCAGGGCCTCCTATCTGGATTGGTGGAGCTGCCTCCCTCCCTGATCCTATGGGTTCCTGCCAGGCCCGTATCCATCCTTTGGGCGATCAGCTGCTCCCCAGCAGAGACCCGCTAGCTGAGTCTGGAACCCAGGGTTCAGGCAGGAGGGGATTCCTCGCCCTCTTCCCCCAGCTAGGGAATCCCACTGCCAGGCTGCTGGTGGGTGAGTAGCCTGGGCCATGGCCAGCCCTCTGTGGCTGCTAATGACCCCTTGCTTCATGGTCAGGCTGTGGGATGTACACAGGGTGTCGTGTGGTTGTGGGAAACCAGGGTGCCAGCAGCCTTTCAACCCAGGGTGGGAAATGAAGCCTGGCTGAAGTGGGGTGAAGTGGGCCTCAGTCTGGGCTGGGGGCCATGGGGCACTTGGCAACTCTCTCCCTGCGAAGCCCTAAGCCTGGCATCTTGCCAAGTCCCAGCACCACCCCCACTACTGAACCACTGTCATTTGAGTTCAGAGCAGGGGGACCAGGCTGTGGGCTTTTCCTTCCCACTCCAGATTCCAGATACGGTGTGGCCAGGCACCTGGTCACCCGAGCACCTCAGAGTTTCTGTCCAGGTACCCCTGGACAGCAGCCTCGGAATCAAGGGCTTCTGGGGCTGTGTCACATCTCTCTCTGCAGCCACCCTCATCCTGTTGAGAAGTTCACAGTGAGAGCACAGGGTTGTCCCTGCTCCCACTCTGTACCTACCTGACCCCAGCTCCAGCAGCTGATGGCGTTTCTGAGATTAGAGAGAGAGCAAGGTTTGGACCAAGCCTGAGCCCTGAGGCGGCAAGGGGAAGGGAGACCTGAGCCCACCTGGGGATTTTTGGGGAAGACCAGACCAGCCCTGGGTGGGGGGGTGGGAGAACACATGTGCTTCTCTTACTGTGTGACAGTGTTGCCACCAGCCTTCCTGGAGCTATTCTTGGAAAGTTGCCTACCTAGGATTTGCCTGATCAGTCAGTTCTGATGGTCCACTGGCACCTGGGGCAGCCTGCAGCATTTCCTGTGGTCAGTGGGCTGCCGCCTGCTTCTGCTGCAGACTTGAACTTGCTATTGCTTTTCAGGCACAGTTGTGACAGGAAGAGGGTGAGGGCTCAGGGTCTGCAGCCCTTGGGAATCTGAAGGCAGTGGCCCAGGCCCTGGGCTCCGTGGCCCTCGGCTCCGTGGCCCTCAGGTCTGTGACCCTCGCTGAGCCCAGTCCTGCCTGCTTTTGCTGCTCTGCTGCTCTGGGCTCCGCTGTGGGAGGCCTCTGACTCACCCTCCCTCCTGCCTCCTCTCCCAGGAGCAGAATTAGCCACTGAATAATTCACGGTGTGGAACCCAGCCTGGCTCCATCCCCCGCCGCCTCCGCTCCTCCTCGAGTGGGGCTGTGGATGTGCCTTGTGCCCCTGCCCTCCTGTTTGAGCTGTGCTTTAGGCACCTGCTCAGCCTCCAAGCTTCATCCCTTCATCTTGGAACTGGAGCTGACTGTGACGGTTTTGCAGGGTCACCTGTCGGGAGGAAGGCAGGAGCTCCCTTTCTAGGTGGGTGGGTAATGGTTTCTCACAGGTTCCGTCACGTCTTCTCCGGTGAGGTATTGCTAACTCTGTGGGTGGGGTTGTATACACGTGCGTGTGGGGGTGGCTGTCCTGTCCCACTGTGTTTAGTGACCTCTCCCCATCTTGACCTAGAGTACCCTCTCAGCAATCCAACTCTGCCCTGAACTGTGCTCCAGGGGGAAGAAAGCGTCTATGTCTCCCAGCATGGGATACCAGGCTTGTCCTTTGCTCTCTTCTATGCCCATGGCCCACTGTCTGGTGAACCTGGTGGAACCCACAATTAGACTCCAGTCAAGGCCTGTGTGTAGCTGACTATACTCGCCTCCTTTCACATGGGGCTGTGCAGCTGTCTGTATCGTACAGACTAAGGCTTAGCCTCATTCAGAGAGTACCGGGGGACAGAGTCTTCCCTCAGACCATTTACCATACCTCCTGGAGCTCACATCAGGGGTGGACTGGCTGTTCCAAGGGTGTCTGAGAGCCTGCTGCCACCTTGTCTCCAGAGCTTCGGCAGGCCATGCAGCTTTTACACAGGCGATGGGTGCGAGTTCACACCCTGTAGTGTGCTGAGACTGAGGGTCTTGGACCATGATGTGCTCCCCTCTTAGAAGCCGGTAATAGCGCCGAGTGGAAGAACCACCAGGAGTCAGGCGCCTGGTTGGGTTTTATGGGTGCTGATGGCATCTTCATGACAGAAAGGGCTCCTCCAGTCTTGTCCAGTCCTGTACTGGTTTCTCACTAGGCTGTCCCCAAGAGCTGCTTTCTGGGCTCTTCTGGGACTAGGCCATCCCCAGCATGCCCCAGCTCCCCTACCCCATTGCCTCACTGGGGTACTTAGATTTTAGAACCATCTGTGTGGGCAGGTGCATTCACCTCGCGGGGAGGAACTGAAGTCCTAGAGGCAGACAGCATGAGACCCAGAGGCTTTTGGGGCCTGATATGGCCAGCAACCAGCTTGTCCTGACTGAAGTCTTGATTTTCATTGGTCCTGTCCTGGCTGCCTGCAGTCCCTAAGCTTGGGACTGCTGGCCTCATCCTGATGTGAGGGAAATATCTGTTTGTCTTTTCCTCTGTCAGCCCTCATGACCCAGCATGACCCTGCTTCCTCAGGTACGGGGTCAAATTCATGCTCTTGGCTTCCAGTCTCTATGTCTGGTTCACTGTCTCTACCAGTTCAAGGCAGGCCAGGAGCTGTTTGCTGATGGAGAAGTGTTATGGCTAGTGATGGAGTCAAGAGCAGGGGCTGCATGCAAGGCTTGGTGGTCTAGGAAGGCCTCCTGAAGCAATTATTACCTAGCCTACCATGGAAACTGCCTGCCAAGGCTTGGGACTCACCAACTTTCTTTTTTTTTTTTTTTATTTTTATTTTATTTTTTGAGACACGGTTTCTTTATGTAGCTTTGGAGCCTGTCCTAGAACTCACTCTGTAGCCCAGGCTGGCCTCGAACTCACAGAGATCCGCCTGCCTCTGCCTCCCGAGTGCTGGGATTAAAGGTGTGCGCCACCACCGCCCGGCGGGACTCACCGACTTTCTCTCTGACTCTCTATACACCTGGTAAACAGTTGGCCAGCAGCGCACTAGCTGTTCAAGTAGTTGGTAGTACTTGGCCTGCTATTCAGCCAGCATGCGATACCATTTCCCATCAGTCCCAAGGCTCAGATGGCTGATAAGACTTAAGGGAAGCCAGCCATGGCGATACAGACCTGTCCCCCTAGCTACTGGCCGGGAGGAAAGTTCAAGGCTACCCCGGCCTGCAGAATGAGTTCAAAACTAGCAGTTTAGCGGACCTTATCTTTTAAAAAAAGAGGATGGGGGTAGGGAATGCTACTCAGTGGTAGAACACTTGCCTAGCATGTGCAGGGCTCTGGGTTTGAGCCGCAGCAACATCAACTAAAAGGGAAGGAGAGACCTGGGTGGTGTAGTCAGGGTTTGAGAAAGGGTCTTAAGTAATGGGAGTGAAGCAGGCAAAGGTGTGAGGTAGAGAAGCGCAGGTATACCCTCCGCCTGCATGGCCCAGGGAAATATGCTGCCTAGGAGGTGATAGGTGTCCTGTGTCACAGGCCACTATCTAGGCTTCAGGTGAATAGCCCTCAGTACCAGGCGTCTGCTCCCAAGCTTGCAGGGCTCCTAAGAGCTGGGCCCCTCGGTGTACAAGGTCAGCGCCATGGCAGGCAGGTTGGCAGCTTGGCTGTGTCCTCTGGGCAGGGCTGGTTTCATTGTCATCCTGCCGACTACTCAGGAAATGAGCTCTGTCTGAAAAGGCAGCCTTATCGCCCGCTTCCAGCTTACACAGGCAGCGCACGTCTGTGGGACATTCGGGTGTGTATGGGGGGGGCGGTGACCATGCAAAGACAAAGGAGCCACCCAGCTGGAGTCTGTCCATGCGCGTGCATTTTGGGGATGACGCCACGTGAAGCCAGAGTGGTATTGCATACCGCCATGTCACTTTCGTGTCCTCTTTCCTTCCTTCCTTTCCTTCCACACCCCACACCCCCTCCTCAGTGCTGGAGATCCAACCCAGGGCCTCCTGCACGCTAGGCAAGTGGTCTGCCTCTGAACCACGCCCCGAGCTTTGCCTTGCTTTGTTTTTGAATTGTGTATGTGTGTGCGATGTGTATGTGTATGATATGTAGTTGTGCATGTTCAGTGTGTGTGCATTCCCGTATGTGAATGCAGGCAGGTATGCGCCATGGTGAGCATGTGAAGGTCAGAGGACAACCTTGGATGTCAGTCCTCGCCTTGCACCTTGTTTGAGGTAGGGTCTCTTGTTTGCCACTACGTGTGCCAGCTAGTGGCCGGCAAGCTTCTGGGGATTCTCTTGTCCCTGCCTCCCAGCTCACCATACACAGGAGTGCCAGGATTTCAGACGCACACTACCGCATTCAACTTAATATTGGTTCTGGATATCTGAACTCAAGTCATTGTTCAGACGTGCGGTACCCACTGAACCATCTCACAGAAGGGCTAGCCTTGAACCCAGTATGTTAAGGATGACCTTGTCTCCATGGCATCAGTACTCCTGGTTTGTGTGGTGCTGTAGATAGAACCCAGGGCTTCATGCATTCTAGGCAAGTGTTCTACCAATTGAGCTACGCCTCCAGCCTTTGTTGCCTGCCTAAGTTTAGATACTGTGTGCTTTAGACATGCCCAAACTCACGTGCTTCTGGGTGCTTCCCCAGCATTTCATAGTGCTGGCCAGAATTCTGAAGTTGCAAGTGAGAGAAGAAGGCCAAATACAGAATCCTTCTA